AAAAATTTATATTTTCAAAAATAAATGAAAATACAATTGAACTGAGATGATTATTTACATAAACCGCTTAAGAAAACTTAAAGACAATTTTCATTATTAATGAAACTATCCCTGAAGTCATTCTTATGTATGTAAAGAGTAACTGGAGTCAAAGTACTAAAAAATTCTACATTAGGGATAAAAAGGTAAAAAAGTTACTTTTATTTCAAGCCTATTGCAAACTTCTGCAGAAAGGAGTCAGAATTCTCTCCCTCAGAAAGAAAGCTTTTTCTGTCTTGTTTTAATTGTTTAGAGAACAAAAGCTGAGTCTCAGGTGAGAAATTTCGGGGATTTCATTATGTTTTCAGATTTATCTAAGGAGATTAACAACAAGTGTAATTTCGAATGATCAGTTCTATCTTAGCCAAGCTTTGTGATTTCCCATAGCTATCTGACATGTTTCACAATTCTTGACAACCTAAACATTTCCATTTTAGGTGGATGATACAGCAGTTCCACATCTAGGGAGTCCTTATCACCCTACATTGAATGACAGGAAAAATGCATGGAGACATCTGGGGTTTAAGAGAGTTAAGAAAACATGGCTAAATTTAATCTCACTTTAGACCTTTGCTCAGCATAATTAGTTTGTAAATATGTAATTTATTTTGCTCCAAGGATTGTAAATATTCTGTAGCCTCTGCTTCTCTTGACAGCCAAAGGGAGGAATTTACAATTCATTATCTGAACAAACTAAACTTATTTTGTTCAACTTCTTTTAATAAAGTTTGATTCCCTTCTTAAAGAGAGAATACAACTTCAGATTTTTCTCTCTAGTAATATCATTTCCATACTTGTAAAAATAAGGTTTAAAAAGTACCTATTTCCCTTTCATTTGCCAGTTAAAATGTCATTGTTTTTATGCATTTCAGTATTTTGCTGTACTTTTTACATTTACAGCCAGGTGACAAAATGGCCATTTATGAAACTCAATTATATTTAAATCAAGCAGAAACATTATATTAGTGAGGGAAATTAGCTTTTTTATAGAACCTGTCCCTGTTGCCATGTCAAAGAAAAATACATGATTGTTTATAATTTTCAGAAGAATTGCAGTATGGTTTCCAAATCATGCTGACTGAATATAACTATGAAAGACCTTAATATATGCCATTTATCCTTAGAGAACTTTTAATGGTTTGTAATCTAGACCTACTTTCACCTAATTTTTGAGTTTGAATTTCTAATAAATTGTAGAGAAAGAACCCATTCCCACACCTTAGTTTGTGGTTCTGTTGTTCTATTGTATGGACACATTTTGGGAAATAACGTCTTTCATTAACTAACTTCATAATTTGAGGTACTCTATTATAGAGTACACAGCATTTGAATTTCAAGTGGTGGTTTGCTTTCAAGCCCTACCTTGTGTATCCAGAAACCCTATGTTTGGTAATATGCCAGTAAATTATGGACAATTTCATGTATACATCCTCTCATTAAAGAAAGGCAAGTCAAATTACAGACGTAGGCTTTGCCTCCCCTGAATCTTTTCCTTTCCCTCTCTTTAAATTAGTCCCAATTTATGGAGTTGTTTCTATTTCACACAGTAATCTTTATGTTCACATAATGTTAATAAGCCTCATAATAAGGGTTATTGTACCAAAACCTTTAGAGTCAGAACTCAAAAACAGACTGATTTCTTGTATATCATTTTGTAAAACTGGCATTAATAGGCTTATTTCCACACCTCTCCCTTATAATTTGGAAGGTCCTCTATAAGGCCTCCCTCATCCACTTTACGTTTAAGTGTTTTAGCCCAATGTTGTAATAACAGCTCCGTCATCATTTTGCCCTCTTTTCTCCTCTCCTCGGCAAACTGCCCTGCTGTGAAACTCAGTCAGTAAAAAGGAGAGTCTTGACACAGAAAAGAAAAATAAGAGGAAACATGGGGAAAATCAGTTCTGAATTGATCAGAACTAAAGATCAGAACTTGATCTGTTCTGACTTGATCAGAACTTGATCAGAATTAAAGAAATAGGTTTCCCCTTGGCAGAGGTAGAGGGACGCCCAAAACTCACAATCCCTATTAAATGTTAGAGAAAGAGAAATGCTGGCAATCCAAGCCAGAAGGAGGTTTTACTAGAATCACTCAGATTATTCAAGTAAAATATGGAGTTGCTTTGTGTGTGTGTGTGTTGTTTTAATTGTTTAATCCAAGTAATTTCGTCAATTTTCCCTGATTTGATCTGCTCTGATACTTTGATAGCTCTATCATTATGCATTTTTAACCTAAAAAGATGAACAGTCTGATCTCCACACTTCTGATGAAATGAAGAATTTTATTTACAATTAAAATTGTGTGCTTTAAATTCTGTTGCTTTTCTTGTTTGATTACATAAAGACAAACAATTGAATCTAAGCATTACTAGTTCCACACAGCTGAATTACAGTCTATCTCATGATATTAAAACGATGGTAGCAGCTGCATCTTTACATCATAGAATATAGAGAGGCATGTCACATACCAAAGTTATCTGTAGCAGTAAAAGCATCTATGGCAAACTCTCATATATTCTTGTATAGACTCTCTGTATAGATTATCTGTGTAAATGTTAAGATTTATAAGTATCACTAAGACTATTTTGCCTGTAAACATAAAATATTTTTCCATTAAACAGAAAGTTAAAGATGAATAAATTTTAGATGATCCATTATTTTGTATTATTTCACAGTCTGTAGATAATATCCCCACTTACATAAATAATTGATATACAGGGATGATTATTTCATGAATCATAATTTTTTATCTATACCTTCTTTAAACTTATTTTTATACTTTGTTTCTATTACATTTAATAAAAGTGTCTTTTTAGAAGTTGAGAGACCACCTCAGTCCTAAGACTTGGCTGAATCTCAGTCAGTGGTGGAATCTGGCCCAGAGCCACATGACTTCTTTCATGAGTCTAAAGTCTGCATCACGAAGTGTCTTATTACAAAGGTTATTGCAGTCTGGTTACTTCCTGCTGGAGTCTCATATGTCCATGTTACATCAAGTCATTCTTCATTAGGGTAAAGAAGAGGATAATCAGATACAAACTACTCCATGACAGTATTGATTGTTCAATGGCCCAAGCATTTTTGTTACAAGCCCTGAAGAATAAACACACTTTTATAAGGCATTAATTTCTGCAGCTCTAGCTCACTTTGGCTTTAAATTTGTTATATTTATTAACTGATTAAATGATAAAATATGATGAATTTTTAACTCTTGAATTCCTTCGTATGCTGACCTTGAGCGGAAGCTTTCTCTCGTAAGGTCAATAGGATTCCAACTTCTTAGAATTTTAGCTGCCTAACTCTTAGTTTGATTCCCTCTCCCTTTCCATAATCTTCATGACCAGCGTTGTCTGTCCACTAATGGTCTCTCCATTGTAGTCATCTTCTTTTTCTTGGGCTGATGTTATGTATTTCACTGACTCCAGGACAACTGGGTTTGGATTTCCTGAAAAAGCTCACAGGTTGTTAGCTTGTCAGAACTAATTGAATTCAAGTCTTAATTTTCTGATTTACCTTGCAGCTTCTAATCAGTTGTATTTCCCTGCCAATCAGTTTTTCCCCAGTTGGCCTCCTTAACTTTGACACCATGTGTTTTCACCTGAGGCTTGACAAGGCCATGCACTCTCAAAAGAAAGTTCAGTTTTCTTACAAGGTAGAGAAACTGAGAAATACAAACATAAATTTCACTAATTGGAAATGTATCCTTTCTAATGATTTTGAAACATCTGTACTGGATTAAATAAGGTCTGGTTGATATCTGAACCATATTTTTGCCATTAATATTTATCTGGTATATATGATAATATTAGGGAAAAGAAGAGAGCACAAGGAAGTATCAAAACAAATTCATTAAGTATATTCATTCAACATAAAATGAAAAATGTTATTTAGTGAATATATATTAATTATCAGAAACTTGTTAATAAATTATATTGGAATTTTATTGACTGTGTGTCATCTTCAGTCATTGTTCATGTTAATCACTCGTCCTACAAATGTGATCCTGATTACTTATGGTTTAATCTTTTATTTTATGATTGATTATATCTTCTATTATGAATTGATCATCTGACTTTAAGTTATTATATAAGCCAGACAAAACTTCCTTTTGATTGTTCATCAAGGCATTGCCATTTCCACTAGTTAATTTTTGCCCTGTTTAGCAAAAACAGTAAGGATAGAAGCAACTATGGAATTTTGTTAGGTCCACCAAAGGAATTTGTAAAGATGCAAAATTTTGAAATCTGCAATTGTATTTAAAACTTTCTGGCAAATTAAAGGGACTGACACTCCCAAGAGATGTTTCTAATAAACTTTTATATCCCTGTACTTTTTCAGATTCTTTTTTCTCCTTTGTGTCATGTCAAATCCAGGCTTGGTATGGTATATAATTGAGAAGAAATTCAGAGAGAAAATACAAGAGATGACAAGCTCCAAGCTAGTGTTAAAAATAATTTGATTTGATTTGAGATTATTGAACAAATGATCCACTATTACAGTAGTCAACTTAGTGACACTTCTTTGGTGTGACTCAAACACCTTATACTGGAGGCCAGACTTCTAGATATTGAATTCTATATCTCCATTAACTTCTGTAGAACTCATCTATTTTGAGTAGGCAAAGTATTTGAGAATGCATTCTGTAAAGATGCTTTATTTAAATCCTTTTTTAAATTGAATATTAAAAAGAGTAAAGAAAATATTTTACTTTCTACTTTGTGAGTTATAAGTATCACAAAGGGAGCTACTAATTTTCTTCTTTGAAAGTTACTGCATGTGGGTAGAAAGCTAAAATAGAGATGAAGATTGTTCACAAATCATTCTCTTCTTATGTGTATTTCTTATTTTTTTCAGGTATTTCATGGAAAGATTTACAGTGATATTGTGCACTCAGCTTTGTAATAGTTTGATTTGTTTTACTTATTAAAATGCATTAATCATAGGCATATTTTTTTTTCTTTTAGCAATTGTTGTTTTGAGCAACCTGGAACCAAATACAACTTATGAAATCAGAGTTGCAGCTGTAAATGGAAAAGGACAAGGAGACTACAGTAAAATAGAAATTTTCCAAACATTACCAGTTCGTAAGTAATCTTCTCTGTTTTACTCTTTGTTGCTATGCTCTTCACTTGCAAATTTAAGTGGAATTTTAAAATGCAGGGAGACATTTCAACACTTTGAGGAAGTGAATTATGTCCTTTTTGAAGTGGTTTCTGAAGATGGTGGCGTCTCAGATTTATAAAAAGTAACATTGTGCTGGAGCAAAAGAAAAAGAAAAGTGCACTGCAATATATACAGTAAAATTGCTCTCAGGAAACTGTCCAATCAGGAAGGTGTCCTACTTATTCAGTCTGATTAATTAAATTGTAGTGCTCAGACTATATTCTGTGAAAGAGTAGAAAAGTATCTATGTAACATGTTTAATGTTCTAGTCTTTTGCTGAAGCACGACTATTGCCTTTATTCCATGAATTACATAGTCCCTAAGTGTGAGAAAAAGGTACTACTAAATTAATCCATTGCAGTGGTGACTGCAGAAGAATAACTATTGCAGCCTCCTTCTTATTGCTATCCTGTTTTGGAGTGAAGTCAACTGCATTTACATGAAGTTAGATAGACTTAAAACAGTATAGATTTCCTTTATGTTGAATACATTGTTTAAAAATGTGAGAAAACTTGAGTGTGACTAAACAAACACCGTTATATAATCTATACATAACCCTGTCTATCATATACTTATATTAGGGCAGGCAAATTGGCAGCAATAATTATCTTATCCTAATTTGTGACCAGTTCTTTTCTGTTGGTTATTGTAAAATGTCAGATGTGTTCTCTTGTTTCCGTTCCTGATGCCAGTGTCTTTTTCAGTTCCTCTTTATTATTTTCACCAGGACGACTGCAAGTACATCTTGACTCATAATCCTACTTTCAGACTAAAATGATTCTAGAACGACTTTGCCTTAGTTATATGGAGATCTATCCCTTCTCTGCTTGTAGTCCTCAGCAGCACCACCCTTCATAGTTTTTCTCATATTCTCTTATTGAATTATTTTAAGACATTGTTGTACTGTTTTGTGGAGTAGTTTTAATTCATTTATTGAAAATATATTATGTTACATGTAAATCATGTCATGTCATAATACCTTCACACTAATTTAATTAACTTTAATGAGCAATCGCTGTATAATTTCTCCATTTACCTTATTTCTATATGGTTGTACTATATATACAAGGCTATTTTACTATTTACTTGCATGCCAACACTCTCAATTGTCATATTTCTTTAATGATTTGCCTTTTCTCAAATAAAATACTCACTTGCTTAAGTTTATAAACACTGTATTGGAAATAAAGGTAATCTGCTGAAAAAACCCCCAGATTCTCTAGTTTGAGAGGCATGCCATCCTCTCCACTATATTCTGCTTAGTTTGTCTGTCTTGGCATTCCTCTGTGTAGGCCAGGTACTACAGTTTTCTGGAACCTTGCAAATTAAATCTTGTCCACTAAAAGTTTCTTAGTGTTACCTTATCATCTCCATATCCATATCCATAGGGAATTGGAGGAAACAGAGGCAAAGGATGCCAGTGCATGCCCAAGGGCATCACATAAGTGACACAGGACAGAGAATTCCCATTCCAAGTTGCCAAGCAGTGATGGCATCCTTCATATAGAAAATTCTTCCACGTCAGTAGATCCCTGTTCATATTAAAAAATATTACAAATATCTTTATTATAAGACCATCTCCATATGAATAATAACACTAAAAGGAAGTATTTTCATGAAACTAGAATTAAAAAAAAAAAAGAGAGAAAAGACAGATTTAAAACCCACCTATTGATTGGATACTACAAAATTTCTTTATTAAAATCTGTATCTAGCTAAAAACTGTTTATTAAAGCAGATAACTAATTGCTAAGCTATTGTATTCCCTGGTAGGTATATATTTTATATAGTTTGATGACAATATGTTTATATTCATAAATATTTACAAAATGTTTACAAACTACTTACATTAGAAAAAAAGATAGTGGACTATTAATACAAGAAATAAAGTTGTACACTTGTGTAATGTAATGAGTTCTATTCTCAGAGCATTTGAAATATAAACATTATATTTAGTTCTGAGTTTTCACAATTTTGACATGATACTTCCAGATTTATGAATGTTTCTATTTCTTGGATGGGTAAAAAAGGATCAGAGTTTATATCACAACAAAGGGAAAATAGAAAGTGATAAACCCAGGATAACATCATACATTTTGATTACATGACAGTGTTTTTTTTAATTAAAATTCAGTTTCTCTACATATAAGAGGTCTGTGCAAATATCAAGAATGTTGTATTGCATATATAGGTGAACCAAGTCCTCCATCGATACATGGACAGCCAAGCAGTGGGAAGAGCTTTAAACTCAGTATCACCAAACAAGATGATGGAGGGGCCCCTATTTTGGAATACATCGTGAAATATAGAAGTGTAAGTACCCTGTTTATTATCATTTTGCACAGTGTTTTCAAGTTGCATTAAATTTGCATTGAATTCATAGATATATGAGAAGTGAATGCATATTAGGTAACAACAATGTCAAAGTGTTTTCATAGGAATTCAAATGCTAATTTTCCATTGCTGAAATTCATCATTATATGTTGTAGAATGTTTGCTTGTTTGTTTTTTGTAAAATCTAAGCGTAGATAATCAAAATAATGCTATGTTTTTCATCTTGTGATTTCTAAACTTAGCAACATTTCAGCAATGAGATATCATTTTCCCTGTTTTTCTGACAAGGTTAGCAGGATATTTCACCTTCCACTATGCTTGATTTTGGTAATTTCAAGCTAAGCTATCTTCTCAACTTTAGTTACTGTAGGTAGGATAAACAAATCACGTCTCAAATTTACTTTATTATTCATTTTCATGAATTATTAAATTGTTATTAAATCAAAATACATTTATTATTTAATATGGATTTTACAAAATAAATCACCTTAATCAACATTTTAAAAAGAATGGCCACATTTAACTTGAGAAAGAGGGAATAGATTTCTTCAAGTTTAATTAGCACTAATATGGGATTTTGGACAGCTCAAAGCTGCCTTGGGACTTGTCTTCTATGCAGGGGATGAAGGATGTCCTCTAGTTGCAGAGTGATGAAGAAAGTCACCTGATAGATTTTGCCTTCATCTGAAAATGACTTCAAAGTCCACTAGAAGTGATTTCTGTTAACAACTCTGCCATAAGAACCATTGAGTATTTGTGTCTACTATGGAATATGTTAAAAGTGAAAGACAGTTTTAATTAAACTTTGTAAAGTTTATTTACTAATGATTATGCTTATCTCCATAATACTGTGTCAATTCTATTTATTTTATTTTTTTTCTTTTTCCATCCTTTCAAAATTCACTTTAATACCTTTAATAAATTCCCTTAAATTTGTTTCCATGACAAAATTATGTGCAGCTATCATTTTTAATTCACATACATCTTTTTGTATTCCAACACCTACTCATTTCTTGCAATTTTTGAAATGTAACACCGAATTTAAAATTTTTTCTGGCTTCCAGTTGGCATGATTACTTTTTTGTGTTTGTTTGCTTTATAGTGTCAATGTAATAGTGGCCTCACAAAACAGATTGAAAAATATTCCTAATTTTTTTTCTCCACATCAGTGGTCATTTAGGTGACCATTTTATTTTTAATTTATTTTTTTTTACCTTCTGTTTTACTAATGTTTATGATTAGGCCCATAATGTCTCAATTTCATGTTTATGTTTACTGAACACTTATTAATACTTTCCAAGTTTGTTATATTTTAGAAAATAGTGTAATTGCTCCTTAATAGTACATAGATGAATTTTAACTATTTTCCCACAAATCCACAATTTTCTAAATTATAATGTTGTTGCTTTTAAATTCAAACATCTAAATATTTTCATTTTTTTAAAATAATTTTTATTGGAGTATGGTTGCTTTACAATGTTGTGTTAGTTTCCACTGCACAACAAAATGAATCAGCCATACACGTACAGATATCCCCTCCCTTTTGGACTTCTCTTCCATTTAGGTTACCACAGTGCATTAGGTAGAGTTCCCTGTGCTGTACAGTATGTTTCCATCAGTTGTCTATTTTATACGTAGTATCCAAACATCTCAATTCTGAGGGATAGTAAAAAGGAGTCTAATTTTGAGTAGCACACATCAACAATTAATTTTAGACACCAGTTCAGTCTTTCACATTTCCAACTGATATCCTCTTCCCAGGACCCCTCTTTGTTGCAAGTTTCAAGCTGGGGATGATGAACATCTGTGTGTGTCTTATGGCTAATCTGCTATGGAGGCTTCATGCCTCCCTTCCAAAACAACTCTGAAAGGCTCACTTGTCTCTCTATGAATCTGATGGTGTTTCAGTAGTAAAGCCAGGTTTCTTGGCCATTCTTATTTGACCATCTGGAAACTCTTTGGAAGGGAAAGAGTCTCT